TACACAGCCGATTGGGGCTGCTCCTCTGGCCAAGGGGCCCTCCTGGGGGGCTGGGGGGGTGGGGGTGCCCTGGACCAGCCGGTGATGCAGTGCCGCAGTAAACTCCCCTCTGTCCCGGTCTCTCCCCGCAGTACTCCACGCACCTGAACCTGGCCGAGCACTGCATGCGGCACTTCAAAGGGACAGTGGAGAAGCTGTGCAGCGTGGAGCAGGTGGGTCTGTGGGCAGAGCCTGTCTGGGGGCAGAGTCTGGCTCATGGACTCAGCCCGGAGAAAGGGGTCTCAGAGCCTCAGGCTCGCTGGAGCCAGGGCCAGCCCCCCCATGTAGCACAGTGGGTGCAGAAGGGGGACGTGGGGCTCGGGTTACTCCCTGGGGACCCGTTGCTCACCCCAGGGGGAGCTGACCCCGGGGAGGAGGGGGCCCTGGCACAGGGGGTAGGCGACCTGTGGGTCGTGGGGCCATTGCGTCTCCCATCCTGCTGCGGGGCAGGAGGAAGCGGAGCAGCCTGACCTGGGCCTTGTGTGTGCGCCCCCCTCCCCCCCAGGACCTGGCCATGGGGACGGACATGGATGGGAAGGTGATCAGGGACCCGATGAAGATCATCCAGCCCGTCCTGCTGGACCCCAGCGTGCAGGCCTACGACAAGATCCGCGTCATCCTGCTCTACATCTTCCTGAAGAACGGTAACGCCACAGGCCTGCAGGGCGCAGCACTGGGAGGCCTGCTGCTGCAGGGGGCGCCCCTGGAGGCGGGGCCCAGGCCTGTGGGGGAATAGCACTGCTCAGACTGGCACGTCCCCCAGCCACGCAGGGCGTCTCCCGGCCAGCCGCTTCCCGGGGCCTGTATCCAGCCTGGCTCTACGGTCCTGTCTCCCCTCTGCCCACCTCTCGGTGCCTGCGAGCCAGACAGTGTGCCGTGCCCACGCTCCGCACTGCCCCTGGGGTCAGACCTGGCAGCCTTTGCTCCCTGCTGCTGCCTTCCCAGGAGTGTCCGCCCTCCACGGTCCCCCCAGCCCGTTCTCTGCAGGGAGGGGAAATGGAGACACACACCCGGAGACGGCACCCCCACCCCCGGCCTGTTCTCTGCAGGGAGGGGGATGGAGACACACACTCGGAACGGCCCCCCGGCCCGTTCTCTGCAGGAAGGGGGGTTGGAGACACACACCCGGAGCGGCCCCCCGGCCCGTTCTCTGCAGGGAGGGGGGATGGAGACGTACACCCCGAGCAGCCCCCTGGCCCGTTCTCTGCAGGGAGGGGGGACATCTCTCCCTTCCTGCAGGCGGTTGAGACCATTTTCTGTCTCTGAGCCCCCTGCGACCAGTTCCCTGCCCATCCCTTGTGTCATCCCTGTACTAGCTCCCTGCTTCTTGCTGCATCCAGCCCCTTCCCCCAGCTCACCAGGGCCTGGGGAACCTCCCTCACCCTGACACATGGCACAGTCCCTCTTCCCCCATCGGTTCCTGCCCCATGCTGGCTTGGTGGGGCAGGGCCCTGCTCCGGGGCCCTTCCTGTAACCCTGCTCAGGCACTGCCCCTGCTCCCATTGCCCAGGCCAGGGTGCCCTCATGTGGCTCCTCTGGCTGCCCAGTTGCCTGGCCAGGGGGCGCTGTGGAGTTGCCAGGCCTCCCCCTCTGCACTAAGCAGCAGTAAATGGTTTGGGGGGTTGCCGTCCCTCCAGCTCAAGGCCTCGCAGCCTTAAGGACCCAGGCCTCGGCTCTGACACTGTACCTGACTGGCTGCAGATCGGGGAGCCCAGATCGGGGGAGGGGGACTCCCTCTGCACTGCCAGGGGGCGCTAGAGAGACCCCTGCCCCCAGCGCCCGAGAGAACCTCTGGAGGGAGGGAAGAGTATCAAGAACCTAAATTCAGTCATTAACTGCGTGGGGTCTAGTGGGCTAGAGGGGGGCTGGGAGCCAGGACTCCTGGGTTCTACCCCCAGCTCTGGGAGGGGTGGGAAGAGCAGGATCTCAGGGTTTGATCAGGGAACTAGGACTCCTGGGCCACGGACTGAATGTGCCAAGGCTGTGGGTGCGTCCCAGGGGTGCTGGCGCTGACCTGTCTCTCCCCATGCAGGTGTGAGCATGGTGAACCTCGACAAACTGATCCAGTGTGCCAACGTCCAGCAGCTGAGTGACAGCATCTACAACATGGACTTCCTGGGCATCTCCGTCATGCCTGAGGTAAGGGACTGGGGCCAGGGGCAGCAGCTGTACCCATGGCAGGGGAGCCCAGGCCATCCTGGGGGTGCCCCCCATGGCAGTGACTACTCCCAGCACAGAGGTGGCCTCTGCCCCATACAGTGGGGTGACGCCCTCCCCCTATGAGGGTGACCCCGGAGTTACTCCCCATCTGGTGTGACCTCTTCTGCCCTGCAGAGGACCCTGGGGGTCAGGACCTCAGATCGCTGGGAGCTGGAGCTGGTGACCACTGCATGGGGTGGCTATGCGGCGAATGGGGGGAAGCGTCTCTGTTTTCCCATCAGTCTCTCTCCCCTCTCTCTCTCTCTCTCTCTTGCTCAGTGATCCATTCTGTTTCTTTTCTCTCGCCCCTCCCTCGCCACGCCCGGC